TAACTTTTATTCTCGCTGTAGTATTGTTGTTGCCGCCGCCATGTCGTGGAGACGCTGTGTGTTTCATTGTGAAAGCAAAACTACTTTGTTTGGCCTTCCAAAAGAGGACACGACTAGAAATCAGTGGTTAAGTCTGGCGCTTCTGACTCACAGCCTGTAAGTACGTTTTCAAATGTAAAGAATTGCCACTGATTATTCAAACGCGAGTTTTGGGCAGTGTAGAGTAGCGCTTGTTGTTTGTCATTTCTCCGATCACAAATGCAGACATGGTTTTATGTTGTGTCTGTGTCACTGTAAAAAAAAAGAGCAACTAGTTTTTCAAGTTTTCTTTAAGACTAACATCATGGACCTTCAAATTCCTGAATTGTACTAAATTTCAGGGAATTATGAGTAAAGCAAGACAAGGAAAGACAGATTTGATGTGAAATTAAACTGTTCACTTAAAAAAGAAAGGGTTGTAAATATAAAGTCAAGCGACTTACCATCAACGAGAAACACAAACGGAGTGAGGACAAAATAAATTCCCATTGTTTTAACTGGTGTTCATCTCACCTCAACACTGTCTTGCTGAAATAAGCAGGGACCACTCTGAGAAAGATGTTGTCTTGATGGCAGCATTACGCTATATATTTTTTCTCATGCTATAGACAGGCAAAAGTATCAAAACACATGGTTTTTGGCTTTTTTTCCCCCACGTCCACTGTTGTGGTTCTACTGAAGCTGTGATCTGATTGGTCGTCTCTGCTTTTCTGGGCGTGGCCGCTGTTGCTTTTCTGATATATGACATCAGAGCTACAGGAGGAGAAGACAAGAAACAGATACCATAAATGTTGTGACATATCTTGGAGTTTTGTAAAGATGAACATATACCGTTATTAAAGCAAACAATACGTTTTATATTTGGATGCAAATAGAAGTTTCTAAAAAAAAAGTATAAATGATTTTCAATTTCAGTTGAGGAAAGAAACATAATTACATTCAAAAGATAATGTGGTCTAAATGTATTGTTCAGTATTGTCAAAACTTTTGCTTAGTGCTTTCCTCTCTTGGATCATAAAATGGTTCATCACTCAAAACCTTTGAATACTGCTTACGTTGATGCCATCTAGTGGCGATGAGTCGTTTTTAATATTTCCTTTCATTCTCTACACTGCCACGCATTTCATATTTCTTTGTCAATACACCATTTTCATAATGTGTGTTTTATGTTGATTTCCAGTATTTTCGTTATGAACTGTTTTAACTGTGTTATAATAGCAATAAACTGAATGGCTGAATGATTGTACTGTAATTGTCTGTAGGCTACCACCTGATAGTTATGATGAATGATGTTTTGAAATGTGGTATTCTTACATAATAGCTCAATGAATAATAATTAAATTAAACACACTAAAACACAATTTAATAATAAAGACATCAGCCATTCTGAAGGGGCATTTAACAGCAAACTTATTAATTTACCATGATAGACATACATTTTCATTTTTCTCATGTAGATGAATAAATATGATCAGAAGGGAGATTTATAAAGCCCTTATTTGGGCTACACTAACTGTTCATTTTTACAGCATTTAAACCGTTTATTTTAAAAATGATTGTCCAGAAGCGTCTGCTGTGCTCTGTAACAGTAGAAGTGCCGCAAAAGTTTCAAAGTTTTAGTTCAGATGTATAAATAACAGACAAATCATTTTAACAGTATTTTTTTTACAACATTTAAAGTCACATTTAAACAGATTTTTTTGCATTATACTAATAATCACAAAGCATTTGCTGTATAATTTGAGATGATCAAGAATGCTACAAGCAGACTGTAAATACAAGTAGAAAGAAAAACCTTTCCATGTCAATAGTCACTACAGTGACTACCGCCACCTAGTGGTTCCATCACAATGAGTTTCTTTCAGAAGCTTAATTCCAGAAACATTCAAACATTCAACGTCCATCTGATCTGCTGAGACCATCTCAACCTTCAAGAGACAACAGCAGATAACTTTGAATACTGCTTACGTTGATGCCATCTAGTGGCGATGAGTCGTTTTTAATATTTCCTTTCATTCTCTACACTGCCACGCATTTCATATTTCTTTGTCAATACACCATTTTCATAATGTGTGTTTTATGTTGATTTCCAGTATTTTCGTTATGAACTGTTTTAACTGTGTTATAATAGCAATAAACTGAATGGCTGAATGATTGTACTGTAATTGTCTGTAGGCTACCACCTGATAGTTATGATGAATGATGTTTTGAAATGTGGTATTCTTACATAATAGCTCAATGAATAATAATTAAATTAAACACACTAAAACACAATTTAATAATAAAGACATCAGCCATTCTGAAGGGGCATTTAACAGCAAACTTATTAATTTACCATGATAGACATACATTTTCATTTTTCTCATGTAGATGAATAAATATGATCAGAAGGGAGATTTATAAAGCCCTTATTTGGGCTACACTAACTGTTCATTTTTACAGCATTTAAACCGTTTATTTTAAAAATGATTGTCCAGAAGCGTCTGCTGTGCTCTGTAACAGTAGAAGTGCCGCAAAAGTTTCAAAGTTTTAGTTCAGATGTATAAATAACAGACAAATCATTTTAACAGTATTTTTTTTTACAACATTTAAAGTCACATTTAAACAGATTTTTTTGCATTATACTAATAATCACAAAGCATTTGCTGTATAATTTGAGATGATCAAGAATGCTACAAGCAGACTGTAAATACAAGTAGAAAGAAAAACCTTTCCATGTCAATAGTCACTACAGTGACTACCGCCACCTAGTGGTTCCATCACAATGAGTTTCTTTCAGAAGCTTAATTCCAGAAACATTCAAACATTCAACGTCCATCTGATCTGCTGAGACCATCTCAACCTTCAAGAGACAACAGCAGATAAACCTGCTCCACAAACACTGTGCTTCTGTGCCTGGAATATATAAAGTGCTAGTATAAAATGAAGAATGATCTGTTGCAAGCAACAATCATCGGAGTCCAACCACCAAAGGCCCATGTGGATGATTTGGATGATTAGATCTTCACTGACAGGGTTTGATGAAACAGGTTACAGCACCACACAAGTGTCAAAAGCAGCAAAAGCAGCCCCAAGAAATCACTACCTCTTACTGACTGAAAGACTGAAAGAGAAGCCATGAAAACCCTCGATAGTGTTGTAAGAAATGTGAACATAAGATTTGTAATAAATGTGTGTGGACAAATTAAGATGAATCACATGTCATGGGACAGTTTCAATTAAAAGATAATACATCAAAATCTATCTTTTTTATATATATTATTATATAAGAAAGACAGAAGCTGGACAATCAAACTGGATCTTTGACCCTTACAAACATCACAACCGAACATGCTGGACTCTATCAACTAGAGAAAATCTTATAATCTTACACAATATATAATATAATCTTAGATTTTAATTTGTTGCCTTATCTTTTAATTTTATAGTATATTTTTATTAAAAATATATATTTTATCAGAATTTAATCATTTGTAATGTGTTTTTTAAATTAACATTTTACCTGATTTGGCTACAATTATGTCCACTTTTCTTCAACTTTTTGAACACTAAAGGTTTAGATTTTATTTAATTATCATGCACTTGAGATATTTTCTTTTGCTGCTGAATTATTTACCAACATAGTTATTTTCTATATTTACTATACTATATTTATCACAGTGAAAAAAAAGTTTCATTCATCCAATAAAAAAAAATGTGGGTAATGATTCACATCTATATTTTTTAACTTGAGCCAATGAAAAATAAATAACTTGCCCTTTAGGGGCAATGTGAATCATTACCCTAAATATTTTTAATTGGATGAATGAAACTTTTTTTCAGTGTAGTAAATATAGTATAGTAAATATAGAAAATAACTATGTTAGTAAATAATTCAGCAGCAAAAGAAAATATCTCAAGTGCATGATAATTAAATAAAATCTAAACCTTTAGTGTTCAAAAAGTTGAAGAAAAGTTGACAATTTTTTCAGTGTAGTAAATATAGTATAGTCAGTGTATATACTGTATTTTTTGGATTATGATGATTATTGTTTTTCTTTATAATGAAGTAGTATATTTCGTAGATTGAGTTTAAAACATTAAATAGTGATCATCACTTCACATCAGTGATCGAGGAAAAGAAGAGCACTGGTGTCAGATCTTATTAAAACTCAAAATGTTGCTATTGGCTTCAGATCAACTCCGATCAAACAAAGACATGGCATTTGTGCACCCCCCATTTCAAACATCTAAGGGGATCCATTATCCAGATTTCTTTTTTTGACCGATCCTGTTGATATCCTCTCAGGTTAGGTGGCCTTTGTCCTTCTGTAAGAAAACAATGAATCACAGAAGGTAAAGAGAAAGAAATGAACCGTGTTTACAGTAACAGAAAATCTTTCACCAACCAGTTAACAGTACTTTCCATTAAGATTACTTCTCTGAAAATTTCATTCAGTCATTAGGAATATAGGTTACAGTTGATTTACAGATTTATATTTACACTGCAAGGCTTAATGCACAGATCCAATCTTTTTGACCATATCCAATTTGCATAATTTCTTACCTATATATAAAGTTTTTGTCTATATATATAGAGTTTTTGTGTGAACTCACACCGGCAACATCTGCTTCATAATCTGACATTAAGAAGTTAATGTGTCTCCCTTGCCTTGTGATAGAGAAAGAAAAACCTTTCCATGTCAAAAGTCACTACAGTGAATACCGCCACCTAGTGGTTCCATCACAATTAGTTTCTTTCAGAAGCTTCACTCCAGAAACATTCAAACATTCAACGTCCATTTGATCTGCTGAGACCATCTCAACCTTCAAGAGACAACAGCAGATAAACCTGCTCCACAAACACTGTGCTTCTGTGCCTGGAATATATAAAGTGCTAGTATAAAATGAAGAACGGTCTGTTGCAAGCAACAATCATCTGAGTCCAACCACCAAAGGCCCATGTGGATGATTATCCATCGTGGATCTTCACTGACAGGGTTTGATGAAACAGGTTACAGCACCACACAAGTGTCAAAAGCAGCAACTGACTTCCCAAGAAATCACTACCTCTTACTGACTGAAAGACTGAAAGAGAAGCCATGAAAACCCTCGATAGTGTTGTAAGAAATGTGAACATAAGATTTGTAATAAATGTGTGTGGACAAATTAAGATGAATCACATGTCATGGGACAGTTTCAATTAAAAGATAATACATCAAAATCTATCTTTTTTATATATATTATTATATAAGAAAGACAGAAGCTGGACAATCAAACTGGATCTTTGACCCTTACAAACATCACAACCGAACATGCTGGACTCTATCAACTAGAGAAAATCTTATAATCTTACACAATATATAATATAATCTTAGATTTTAATTTGTTGCCTTATCTTTTAATTTTATAGTATATTTTTATTAAAAATATATATTTTATCAGAATTTAATCATTTGTAATGTGTTTTTTAAATTAACATTTTACCTGATTTGGCTACAATTATGTCCACTTTTCTTCAACTTTTTGAACACTAAAGGTTTAGATTTTATTTAATTATCATGCACTTGAGATATTTTCTTTTGCTGCTGAATTATTTACCAACATAGTTATTTTCTATATTTACTATACTATATTTATCACAGTGAAAAAAAAGTTTCATTCATCCAATAAAAAAAAATGTGGGTAATGATTCACATCTATATTTTTTAACTTGAGCCAATGAAAAATAAATAACTTGCCCTTTAGGGGCAATGTGAATCATTACCCTAAATATTTTTAATTGGATGAATGAAACTTTTTTTCAGTGTAGTAAATATAGTATAGTAAATATAGAAAATAACTATGTTAGTAAATAATTCAGCAGCAAAAGAAAAAAATCTCAAGTGCATGATAATTAAATAAAATCTAAACCTTTAGTGTTCAAAAAGTTGAAGAAAAGTTGACAATTTTTTCAGTGTAGTAAATATAGTATAGTCAGTGTATATACTGTATTTTTTGGATTATGATGATTATTGTTTTTCTTTATAATGAAGTAGTATATTTCGTAGATTGAGTTTAAAACATTAGGGGCAATGTGAATCATTACCCTAAATATTTTTAATTGGATGAATGAAACTTTTTTTCAGTGTAGTAAATATAGTATAGTAAATATAGAAAATAACTATGTTAGTAAATAATTCAGCAGCAAAAGAAAAAATCTCAAGTGCATGATAATTAAATCAAATTTAAACCTTTAGTGTTCAAAAAGTTGAAGAAAAGTTGACAATTTTTTCAGTGTAGTAAATATAGTATAGTCAGTGTATATACTGTATTTTTTGGATTATGATGATTATTGTTTTTCTTTATAATGAAGTAGTATATTTCGTAGATTGAGTTTAAAACATTAAATAGTGATCATCACTTCACATCAGTGATCGAGGAAAAGAAGAGCACTGGTGTCAGATCTTATTAAAACTCAAAATGTTGCTATTGGCTTCAGATCAACTCCGATCAAACAAAGACATGGCATTTGTGCACCCCCCATTTCAAACATCTAAGGGGATCCATTATCCAGATTTCTTTTTTTGACCGATCCTGTTGATATCCTCTCAGGTTAGGTGGCCTTTGTCCTTCTGTAAGAAAACAATGAATCACAGAAGGTAAAGAGAAAGAAATGAACCGTGTTTACAGTAACAGAAAATCTTTCACCAACCAGTTAACAGTACTTTCCATTAAGATTACTTCTCTGAAAATTTCATTCAGTCATTAGGAATATAGGTTACAGTTGATTTACAGATTTATATTTACACTGCAAGGCTTAATGCACAGATCCAATCTTTTTGACCATATCCAATTTGCATAATTTCTTACCTATATATAAAGTTTTTGTCTATATATATAGAGTTTTTGTGTGAACTCACACCGGCAACATCTGCTTCATAATCTGACATTAAGAAGTTAATGTGTCTCCCTTGCCTTGTGATAGTTTGGAATTTCATATGGGAATCGCATTTACGTGTTTAGACGCAGGTCAGATGTCCAGATATTGGATATGTATCCAACGTGTTTCCACGTGTGCAATATCCGATCTGTGTCACATGTGAGTAAAAAAATTGATTTTTTCTGTCTCTTTATGTAATCCCAGGCTGACTGGATGATGGCGAGATCAGATCTCTGTGTGCATTATACCATCTGTTGTCACAATCTTTGTTCATATAGAAATCTCACTGGAAGATTATGATTAATGGCAAAAATTATTTTTGGAAATTATTTCTCCTACTGGAACACTGAGGAAAGGGATATTTATAATTGTATAATTGGTGAAGATTTTAAGATGCCATTGGCACCTGTTACAAATGAGGCTCCCGCACTACATCTCTCGCACCACCAGAGGGAGCATTCACCTGAGTATTAACCACCTCATTCGGACTCAATTTCCCATCAGCCTTCATACCTGGAACTGATCACCCTGCACCTGTCTTCAATTATCTCACACACCTATTTAAGGCACTCTTATCTGCTCTTCAGTGCGAAGTCTTGATTTGCCCTGGTGATCATTTCGGAGCGGTTTCTGTTATTCTGCCTGCCTGCCTGCCTGCCTGTTTGTTGACCTGGACTGTTTATCTCGTTTTCTGATTCTTGCTGCCAGCCCCGACCCCTTTAGCCTGTTTATCTACTGTGTTTGCTCGCCGCCTGCCCCAATTCTCTGCCTGTTCTCTGGATTACGTCTACTGTTGGTTATCCTGTTCTACTAATGTTTACTGCCCTGCCTTGTACTGCTTTTGTCTAATAAACTGCAGATGGATCATCAAGCTACTGACTCATCACAGCACCATACTGTATATTTTAGACATGTTACAGTAATACAGTATCTTACCTCATACTGGAACATTCAACAGCTGCTCAAACTTGTTTTTCTCAATGTCTTCTGTTAAAAAAAATCACACAGACAATTAAACACTAATTTTGCTTTAAAAAGATTGTTTTCCTCTCACTATAGTAGCTGTAGGTGATACTTGCCCATTTTAGAGCTCCTGTGACGATAGTAAATCACACCAAGAACAGCTGCAACCAGCAGCAGAACACCACCAACACCAGCACATGTTCCCGCTATAAGACCTGAAGACAGACCTGAATCTAGAACAGATGAAGACAGACAGTCATTAGTGTGAGTGCATCCGACTGTTTCTCATTTGATATATTCTCTTTATCCACTCTTTTAGAGATCCATGTTAGAGATGTGAAAGATTAATTCCTCTGTTAAAATATAAGGATTATTATATGAAATCTGGGTAAATTGCTAATTCATTTGATTGATTCATTTTACATAGTCTCAGTTACAAATAAATAAAACATATAAATATACATAAATATAGTAATAATACTAACACTAAAATCAAAACTGGCACACCTGAACATGACTGTCAGAAGGGGAATATATGGAAGCTGTCACCTTTTAGAACAATGTGTCTTTATAAATAAACGAATATGTGTGGTGTAATCTATTGTAAATAAATAAAAAAAGAAAGCGAGGAGAAAACATACCCCTTTCACGCTCTTGTTTCTTCTCCACATTGTCTGATTCTTCATTGGGTTTGTCAGGACCAGACAGAGAGGCAGGAAAACACAAGGAAATAATAATTTAAAAATATTATTTGCATTTAGCATTGTTTTTTAATTCATTAATTTTTCTAAAAACATTTCTATTTATTTATAGCTGTGGGAAAATCTTTTAAAACAAGGAACACACTCCCTGCAGTGTTTTGTTACTAATACTGGTTGCATTGTGGCAAAAAATATATATATATTAACAGTCAAAGTGATCAATTATAATAATATATTTGATACAGGGTCTTATAATAGTTTAAATATCATTCAAATGTTGAATTATTCACAAAAGTTGTCTACTGAAAAAGACTCTAAATGTATTTTGAAGTTGTTTTTATATATTCAAGAAAAGAGATTGAACCGGTTTGACTGTGTTCAGATAGTCCACATTCAATCAATTAATGAGTTCAATAGTAACTGTTTGTAAAATGCAGCAGGGCATATGACTGAATGACTCATCACTAATGACTGAATCAACACTATATGACTCACCACTGATGGACACACTGAATGTCTTTACGGTGTCGCCGATGTTGATCATTTTTTTGATGACTTTTGTGCTGTCACACTTGCCGTTTCGGTTCAAGCTTTGGCTGGTTCCTGAGCTCTTGCTTTTGATGAAATTTGCTTCAAAGCGTCCAGTGTGTTCAGGTCTGATGTTTGTGATGGTCAGAGATCCGGTCTCAAAGTCCACTTTCAGTATGCCTCTGAATACCCCGCCTTCACCATCGTACAGACAACTCTTAGTAGGATCTCCATTGATCAGGGCAATGAGAGTGTCGTTAAAATACCACAGCATCTTGTCACGTCCTTGCTTGGTAACATCACTTTTTAGAGTGACAGAAACTCCCTCCATCACTGACACCAAGTTCGATCCAACCACACCTGGAGACAAAAATAAACAATAATTACTTAAGTGAGTGTGTGCATTTTAAAAGGAATTCAACACCATGGCAATTTGTTGGATTATGGGAAATCTGGTAGACAGCGTCATGGCAGGTAGGCAAAATGAGGAGAAGCGAAGCTAAAGATGCATTCACGCCATGTTGAAATTATTTAATTTTGATATTTCAACATGTAAAAAGTGTTCATGTCCTCACAGAGCTCGTAATTCCAGCTTGAAAAATGGGACTTTTCTGATGTTGCATTAACGCCATGTAATTACTGTAATTTCGAGATGATAATACATGATGTTCTACTTGTAGCTGTTCACACTCTTGGACTCGGACTAAGGGTATCAATGCCTAAACATAGTGCCAAAAGAATCTAAGGTGGTCAGGTGGTACAAGTTGTAGCTCTCAGAAAACTCCCAGTTCACAGTTCATTACGAGTTCTACAAGGACGTGAACGCTTTCTACAAGTTGGTATCTCGTAATCACGGTAATTATGATATGGCGTGAACGCACCTTCAGAGCTCCTACTTGTACCACGTGATAAGTGTGTTCGCCTTGAAGCAGAGCTGTGCAGACCGATCGGTGTAGGAGCCGTCTGGCCCTATTTTAACGATCTAAGCGCATGGTCTAAAGCGCACGGTGCTGGTGCACTCAGGGCATGTCCGAATCAACTTTTGCTAGTTTAACGATGGTAAGACGGTCGGCGCGCCCAGGCGCATGGTGTTTTTTGTGCGTAACATGCAATAAACCAATCAGAGTCTCATCTCCCATCCCCTTTAAATGCCAGATGCGCTCGCGCCATGGCGGGTTCGCTATTTACATGGCAGAATGTAATTTTTCATTTTTAAAAATGTTTGTGTGCTGCTGCGCGTCCCTGTGTGTGTAATAAGCAAAGTGTAGACGTGTTGTGCACCCGCCTATAGCCACATATTACTATTGCGCTCTTTAAATAACAAATAAAATTTTTTGCGCCAGACTTTAGACCAGGTTTGAGTTGGTCTATGGCAAAGTCTATTCTCAGTTGCCTCAAAATAGCAACGCGCCAACAATGCGCCTGAACACACCTCTTTTTTAGACCAGCACGACCATGGGCGCACAAATGGGCGCAAATGCATTTGCTATTTAAACAATGCGCCGCAGGACGGGAAAATGAGAACTGCGTCGGGC